AGGTACCCATTCCGACAGCGGGGTTTGGTTCGAGGTCCATACCATCAGCCTTTGACTCAACAGTCTGACCGAAAAGCCAGTGGGTGATTTGGAGGTTTGCTTGAGGGACTCCACCCGGACCTTTGGCTTAATAGCCTGACCCACAAGGCAGTGGGGAGCAAGCCTAGCTAGGGAGTGTGATTACAGATATCCATTGGGATTTGCTTGAAGCCTGTCACACGGAGATTTCAACGATTTAGAAAAAAATCACATGTGTATGACGTTACGCACCTGCGACAACGGTTATCCGCAGGTGAGAGTTGGCGGGTTTGCACCAATTTGATCAGAGGATACTAGGCTTGAGGCGGGTGATAGCAAACCACAGAGCACTGGAAGGTGCCCTCCGACCGTCAGACAATGTGTGGTGCTCGTGCTCTACGATAATAAAGCGGTGGTTTTATAACCTGTAGAGTTGTTGTCTCCCATGACAAGGTTTTACAGGAAGAGGGTCATCTACCTCTCCCTAACCGAAGTGGACTGGATTGTGAGACTGTATTAGTCTGACCCCTAACCATTGACCAGTCTGGTATGAGTGACTCTGAAGGCACTTAGAAAGTGCCACCCAGCGTAGCTCAATGGGTCACGGGGGTACGCAAACCATCGCGCTACGCTAAGATCCAGTCTCATTAAGGTCAACCAACCCCAGTCCAATGCACCGTATTCAAGTAGGCCGCCGGGGTTATCAATGGGCTGACACACATTGGTATCTCGCCAACGGAGTACACTCCTTTCGACGCTTCAGCTTTTACTAGGTCACCTTAATTCACGTCTTGTGCGATCCGCTGAGGCCATGGGGATAAAGCGGCCATATGTGTTTAAAAACAATTGGTTTTCAAGCCTCGGTTACCCTGGTCATAGGTTTAACGCCGCAGGTCACCCTGCAACATGCGACTGGTCAGATAACACCCGTTGACCTTTGATATAAGTTTTTGTATCATATTGGTACTAATGAGATAATACAGATCGGCGCATTCATTGGCGTTAGTCTTCTGGATGTTTTAATCAAATAACTGATAAAAATGAGTCAAGCTTCTCAAGCAGTAGTGTCGCAAAATGCCTCCGACTCATTAGCAATCACCGAGGATTTCGACGGAGAAAGCTCCCACTATGACATCTAAAATAGACTGGCACTAAAAGCGTTTCACCATGGCTTCGTTCACCAATGACGCAATTAATTTCCATATTTCCACTAAATCATCCGCTGCACAGACAGCGGTAACATGGTATCTCAATTATTTCACTTACTGTGCCACGCTTTTTTAGTGATGAATATCTAAGCGAACTAAGAACTTAACGGGGAACCAGCGTGACCTGATGTTTCCGTTTCTGTGCTTGCCCAACAAACTGAAGTTGGGCATCGTGAACACATTCATAAAGTGGCATTTTCAGGTCCTCGACCGCAATCCGATCCGGCTGTATGTACAATAGATTTAGTCACTTCAAAGGGAATATTTTTTAGACAAATGAGACCAAAGAAGAGTTAGTTGTTTCCACAATGATTTGAGATAGTGTCGAGATATAAGCGAACTGAGTGATCGGTACAACCTCACCGCCCAATTGCAGACGCAAGATATGATGGACTACGCATACCCTATATAGTCGTAGGAGCTTCGGAATCAAAGTATTATCGAAAGCCATCGAGTCGAAGAGATACTTGTACTTCAGGTATCCGTGAGATTTAGACGTTACCTTTCAAATTGACTGAAGTGACCTAGTGGTATCACTAATCTATTTTGAAGAATCATCCCTTTTGCTCCCAGAAACGAAGTTCTCGGATTTGCTTCTAATATCAAGACTTTGTCACATCACAATTGGTAAAAGTGTACTCGGTTGAAGCTTCATCCACTTATGCCCAGGTCAGAGAATAGTATGGGAAATTGACTAACATCGTTTTAAAGTATCCAATAGTACATTTTCATCTGTAGGTAGTAATTTAACCACTTGAGATCCCAAATTTTAATCTGTGTATGGTGGGCCTAGCTGGTTGGACCGGAAAATAGTCACTAGAGCGCCACGACGGGAACTCGATAGCGGGTCAACCTTAATCGTATAGATTATGCATGTGTGTTCTGAACTCCCTTGAGAAAGTTGCACAGAGCGCCACGGAGCGAGTTTGGTTTCGTTACAATAGGTCGTATGCACACCTTGAGATATAACCTACCCTTACTTTGTTGAACAGGTGCTTGTGCTGCGTTGTGTGTTCCTCCCATGAAATCACATAACCTCTTTATCCTGCATGTTTAGAACTTGGTGACATTACGTGTCGGTAGAGCGGATGCGACTTCATCGAAGGGCAGTAGAATGGAATGGATATTCAACTCGAGTGGTGCATGTGATGGGAGTACTCTACTAGACTGATAAGATGGATCAAAAAAGCAGGCCAGTCAGCGGGAGACACTGACTGGCCGATGCGCTACGGTGAGTTCTTCATCGTCTGTACAACGGAGCAACCGCATCAGCAAATAAAGAATGTTGCATATACAAGTTAACGGACAACGCATTTAGCGGAGTTCTGAGTACTAAACATGCTGTAATTTTTCCTTGCTGGACTTTGCCGAATAAATGCTTGTCCCGAAAGAATAACGCCTGTAACAGGGCGTTGAAGCGGAAAACCGAATTTCGAGGATTGCTTCTGAGTAGGTAAAGCACAGCCATTATGCAGAATGAAAAAAGTAAATAAGCAGTATTTCTAAGTGAATATCACCAAAAACGAAATGAAGATGGTTACGATCACTAGAACATGGAATGAGTTGTTGAAAACCTGATATGGTGCAGATGTCTCGAATGTGCGTTGTAGAGACATGGTACAAGTGACGTTACTTGATAAGTAATATAATCTACAGCGGAATATTCACCCACTTGGGTTCCATAAATATATTGCATGAAATAAATGGAATTAAATCGAGCTACTGGAAGAGTCACAGTGAAGGAAGATTTTTGGTAGGCGAAATAATTCAGATGCTGAACCGTAACAGATAGCAGGACGGACTATCACTAAGTAACCTAAGACGGTCGAGAAGCACGCACATCGACGATGGGGCTGGCAAGCTAGTGCCTTTTTTGAATGGAACCACACGTGTAACCACACTGCACCATAACAACGGATAGAAATGATGCTAGATGTATCCCAACGCTGAAGTGATAAATCACTTCTACTTTCTCGATAGCAACAGCCCAGAAGCAGATAGAAATTCTCAGTGTTCCGCGATATCAAATACTGTATTTTGTGAACGCAGGCAACTTTCGGATAAATCTGAAGACACCTTTCAGAAATGCCGCACATATCGATAATCATAGCAATCACCCCTAATACGGCGATCCCACCGCACAATTTGGTCTAGAAATCCGTCGGCCTTTCTTGATGATAGTTAGATATAAAAATTTCGTATTTATCACCATTACCGTAATAACCTTTCTACCGCATCAAATTCTATATTCCTTTTTACTCCATTGTTGGTCACGACTGGGTCGATCCTGAAGTGACGGATTTTAGCTGCCAAACAGATGAACCCATGCGAGGCAAGATGTCATAGACTCCCTGACAAGCAATAAAAGTGCCTGACTCAAAACACCGATTGATGATAAGGGCTATATGGCCTGTCAATAGACACACAATTAAAAAGAGCCCTTAAGATGAGCACAATTGGGTGTGGTAAACCTGCTTTAAAGCCACACCAGCACACGGTCAGAACAGACATGGAAGTGCGGGTGAAACCATTCGAGGAACTAACCTGCATGGAAGCAGGTCCCCTGGAGACGAATCCACCATTGGCTGTGTTACTTCACTAGAACATTTAGATTTGCCTGCGTTTATTATTATCAACCAATTCATCCATTTGTAAGATGCAACCGGTCAGTCAGCCCTGCAAAATAGTTTGAGAACTGCTCTAAAAAAGATCTTGAAGGTATGTCATCCGGCTCATGCGATCCTGTTGTACATAATGACCAGATCAATCAGTTGGACTGTGCATCGAAATATCGAGAAATATACCCTTCAGTTATTTGCTTTCATTTACAATGTGTCCGTAAAAAGCAACTGTTAGTCAGGCAGCAAAGAAATTCCTTGCGCTTACCATTCAGCCGAAGGGTTTCTCAGACTCTAGCCATTGGCACTGTTACGACTGAGCCTTGATGACTGGAGCAAATGCACAGCGGAGCCCAGAAAGCTGCTATGGAACGAAACTTTTGTGCCCCTAAAGACAACAGCTAGCAAGCTACGAATCTCGGGTAAAGTGAGAGCGAATGGTATGATCGCAGGTGTATCGGATTCCATTCAAGTACGTCTCAACAGATAACGTTCTGGTGCAACTCGAGGGATCAACGTGCGCAGGCACAAGAGGATCGATGAAGCGGAAGAGAAGAATCTGCGCAGTAAGCAACAACGTGTCTATTACTCAAACGAATGGCAACCTGGGTGTTAACACAAACCACAGCAGTGAAACCGGAGAAGACTGCTGAGTGTTCGAACCGACTGGAGAGGTTAGGTTCCACTCTTGGCCAAGAGGATTGCATACAAGTTCTAAGTCTCTCCGATACCCGTAGAGTGCAAGAAATTGTGTGAATTTGAACAGACATTGCGACGGAGTTAGATGACACATGGTTGAAGTAGATCGCAGTTCCCTGTAATTCTCCGTGCAATGTGAGGTGTAACATTACGAAACTTCCCAAAGTAATGGCTGAGAGACTGACGATCATATGCCTCAAAGTTAAGCAAAGGCCGATCATCTAATTACGAGTCACGATCTCCGTTCGACTGACACAAGGTCCCCTACGCTTAAAACGACAGTGCTTGAAAATAATGTGCCTTCTTGTATTTGAAAAAAAGTAGTGCGAAATCAAAAACCGGTGAAACGATAAAAACAAGCAAAGAAAGGAAGCTCGGAAATGTTTTACAGTGGGGTCCAGAGACGGAGAGAAAAGCCATAGCGTCCATGAAGTACAATCGTCACAGAAACGCAGAGCTATGTTCGAATGTGAAATACAGAAGTGGATAATTTATACGCGCCGCGAATACACCCGTATGCAGCAGCAGCCAAAGTGGAAACGAAGAGGACACGAAGACTCCATTTGAAAACTCTCCAAGATAGGGGCGGTTGAATAACTCTAAAGTGAAAGAGGGAGGTGGAAATCGAGAATGAAGAGCACTGCGGAGATTAGCAATAATGCAAACATGAATCATCACGTTGTGCATGTAGCGTTTAGCGCGGCATAGCGCTGTGCGTAAGCCCACAGACGGATGGAAAGGTGAGGATGGTCAGGTAGTTATGATGCACCAGGGAAAAGTAAGCAAGCGAAAACCCAAAAAAGCATTGAAGCACGTAAGTAACTGCATCCACGTTAGGGTTCCGTCTCATTGTACTGGTAAAATGTGAGAAATAAGTTAGATTTCCACTACAGTGACGGTGTTGACGACGAACACGCCCACTGAGTAAACAGTGTTGTCTAAAGGACAATGCCCTATCCTTTCAAAAGATGCCTGAAGAATATTTGTTCAAAAGTAACTCAACCGACCATGAAAGAAAAACCAATAAGATGTCGTGACTAAAAACCCGGTGAAAGTAAAGACATTTTACTATTCGTAGTCGCCTCCAGCAGAGGACCACGTGGTAAATAAATAAATGGAAGGTTGTTTCCAGACAGACGGGATACACTGCATTCCTTTGCAAAGGTGCCGGTAGCGACATGATACAGCCTGATTACGAAAATGACCTCACCAGACCTAATGATAACTACTGTCGGACCAAACAAGCATTCGGGTGAAATGATGGCGGTCTACATACTTCGAGAGGAAATATAATCTCACGATTCGCAAAATAACGCTAGGTTAAAGTATGTTACCTAAGCAGCACGGATGGCAAAAAATGCAAAGTGAGTCAAGAATACGCAATTCCAACAGTAAAAAGAACATAGAATTTTGGGAAGGATTGTAAAAAAGTAAGAGATCGCTATTAGACGGAACATTTGGAAGCAAATGGTGAAACAAGTGCTCTTGCGGAATTAAGCAAGTAACAGTGAGAAGCACAGAGATAGCTTTTAAAAAGGAACGGTAATGTAAAACTGAAGATGTACATAATTATTGGGTATTGTCTGCTCTGAAGCTTTAGTAACCGTTAGGGGACTGTTTTAGTTTCGGTAAATTGACCAAGATCAGAGCATAGAAGCGGGGTGGAACAAATTCCATATGATAGTGTAAAGAACAGAGTAAAAGGAGAGGGAAATAATCATATTGAGAGAGTAATGTAGACAGAGCTCAAGAAGAGCTATACGCAAAGATTACAAGATCCCTACTGGCTTTTTAATTGAAGTATACCAGATGGATGGCAACGAAACACCAACAGATCCTCGCTCGTGACTTCCAGTCAAGAAGACAAGACGTGCCACTGAAGCTCGGAATTCCATCATCTGTCTTATGATCCCTTGCATCAACTCATATAACCTCTATGGTGCAAACAATACACGCAGGCTGACAGGAGCGGTAAATCGAAATAAAAATCAACAGAGCGGAAGAATTAGGAGCACTTACGTCATCAATTGTGCTTGATCAATGGTCCCTGCAATGTCCCAATATCGTTTAATCCCGGCTACGTGTCCGATCCCGACAATTGCAACCACGACCCGAGGAAGAACAGATGGGCATGGCCAATAAGGGCAACAGGATTGCATATTGCTCACTATCCCATCACAAGAATCAGATTTGGTGCGGGCATCGGGAGACCGCGTGGGGGAATGAGTGGAATTGTCTTTTCTGTCTCCAAAAGGTACGCGAAAACGAGTAGAACTGGGCTCCTCAATGAGGTGATTAGCGGGATGAATGACCTCGCCGTCCGTTGATTTGATCGCGGCTTTATAGTCACTCATACCAGTCGTGGACCAGATTGACTTCGCCAAAAACATGTCTCTTTCATCCAACAACACTCGGGTTAATTCCGGATGATCACCAGCCATTTCCATCAGCGTCTTCTCAAGAAAATCGCTTTTCTTCATCTCTTCAACTTGTTCTTTGCTGAATAAGTCGTACGATAGCAATGTGATGTAAATGATTAGAGTAAACGATATGAAAGCAAAAGTCCGGAGTTTAGGTCATTTGTTAGACGAACTGTTTCGCTGAGCTTGGTACTTTTGTTGCGAACGTTTCGTCACTTGTCCAGGCGAAGTCATTAGTGCGTTAGTTATTAGCAAAGCGATGAGTAAGTAGGCATGAACCGGATAACCACACGAGTGCGTTTTTATAGGTTATTTTCATTGGTCGTTTGAGCAGGTTACATCTCAAAGTGGCCTTTTCGATCCATGCCTCGTGACCATGGCACGTTCACCTCCGCGGCTGAGAATGTTGCCTGAGCTGCTTGTATGGTAGGGATAGTTGACTGCATTGGTGGTTCCTTGCTTGTAGATTTGTTTGGATGGCGTCCAATTCATCGTGTCGATTGATTGAATTGTTCGTGGAGTGCTATGCTTCTAAGAATTCTCTTACGTGCTTTGTATTCCCACTAGCTAGAATCTTCGCGATTTCCAGGACAGTGATGGATTGCATCATCCTCGTGTATAGAATACGCAAGGAGTCCAGCACGGGGAAATAGGAAGCAGATAAGTATTTGAAGCATGACACTCCACGAACAATTCAATCAATCGACACGATGAATTGGACGCCATCCAAACAAATCTACAAGCAAGGAACCACCAATGCAGTCAACTATCCCTACCATACAAGCAGCTCAGGCAACATTCTCAGCCGCGGAGGCAAACGTGCCATGGTCACGAGGCATGGGTCGAAAAGGCCACTTTAAGATGTAACCTGCTCAAAAGACCAATGAAAATAACCTATAAAAACGCACTCGCGTGGTTATCCGGTTCATGCCTACTTACTCATCGCTTCGCTAATAACTAACGCACTGATGACTTCGCCTGGACAAGTGACGAAACGTTCGCAATAAAAGTACCAAGCTCAGCGAAACAGTTCGTCTAACAAAGTAGGCGATTTTAAAAAAGATGTATGTATATGTTTACTAGAATAACGAGCACGAATTATGAAGGAGGGTAGGAAAACAACAAAAGAAGAGCAAACGGGGGGAGAACAAAACAACTTCGCCATGTATTCCACCGAGAAGGTAGGCAGTGCCGACCAAGAACATTAAAAAAGTAATGCACGTGGTCGAATTCTGTAGACGTGATGATCCATTGCTGTGAAGGTATAACGACTAATTTTATGAGTTTCATGGCTCTATAACGAATTGAGTTGCATTGGATAAAACCTTCAGGTGTTTTCAGAGCCATTAATAATGGACAAACAAATGAATGGTAACACAAATGCGTTCGCCATGGACTCTCCGGTTGAGAGTAAGTAGACGGTCGGTTATATTTATCGAAACTTAGCAATGGGGGGCAATTGAAGATAAGTTCAACTGAGCTGACGAGGATGAAGCGAATTAGTTGTTGTCTCTAGAGGTACGAGGCAGCAGCTCCTGCCTACCGGTTAGTAAGATGCAAACTCATCATTGCGACCTCAGGTTTACAATTCCCGATGGTCGAAAAACACGTGCAAGTAATTATGGTTCTGAAGCATTCAATGCAGTTTACGGTTGACATCAAAGGAATATCAAAGAAACTTAGACATGCTACCAACGCATTGTGGGAGAGAGCAGTAAACCAAATGAACTGAGTGATGTCTTTTAAGTAAACAGACAGTTATTCCACTGGCACGTGAACGGGATCATGGAGTCGAAGGCCAGAGGCAGGAAATGTCGGACGAAAACCCCCTTCACCCATCAATGGACTCGCTGGAATACAGAAAAACCTCAGTTGGCACCGAACACAATGTGACCAGATGGACTATCATGTGCGAAACAAATCAAAAACTGCGATCTAACAGGGAATCTGAATTGTCAGTGATGAGTGTATGGAGAGTGAAGTTAGTTCATATATTGCGAAAGCTAGTATTGTAATCATGTATCTGAGACATACGTGGTAACAGAAGGAAATTTCCCTAGGTCTGGATATACAGTGACAGCAACTCTCCACTACAGGATGGCGCCAGTGTGTCAGTAACGAGGACATGGGCGAGCGAGGTGTGGATAATCAGATTGGTTCCTTAAAGTATCAAATAACATCGACTGAGTTGCGTTGGCTTGAGCGTGTTAGAGCTACGCGTTCACCACCCATCCAAGAGGGTTTTGTTTTGTCTGCCGGAGGCAGCATTGTACAAAGCTCGAGGAGTGCAAAAGTTGAACTGATAATGAGATATGAGAGTTGCCCGGGTTGGAGTCCACGCTAATGACTGTGCGCTTGGATGGAGAAGCTACAGGCAACAGGAGGTACCAATAGACCGCGTGCTGTCATATTTCAAGCGGCTACCAATTTAAAGTGTCTGATACTGAATTACCTGGGGTAAGGCTGATTGCGACGCTGCAGAGTCAAAACAAGAGTTGAGATGACTCGCCGATGGCGTTTAGAGCCATGTGTTGTTGATAGGGAGTGATTGCCTTGACTCTCAGAGCCTAGACTTACGGATTAGGTTTACATTAGGATTGTCCTCCTCCTCATACTCACCCACTAGGTGAGGTACCAGTTCAATTTACTGGTATACTGCTGATTGTGATCCCATCTTCCGTAGTTTAACATCTCTCTAAAATCTCTTCATCCTGCCTTAATTAACAAATCTACCATGAGCTTCTTAATATGTACTAGTGACATACCTAAATTTGCTTTCAAACCGAGAAATCCATTCCGGATGGTACCACTGACGTTCTCACCCAAACGCATCTCGAGAGTCAGGGAGCGTCAATTATCACTTATAGATTATAAACACGTGTACAAGATAGCATGGTCATAATGAAATTTTCATTACCTGTCTCAGAATATGTTGAAGATAATCGAAAGGCTAAAAGGATGGGGAGTCGATTTGCCAAGATATTTACCGTGTCCGTGTTGTTTCCAGTAGAAGTACAGAAGGCAAACCATTTATTTGCATGGCCGCTCGTGAGGAATCCAACTGTGAACACCAGTGCGTGTCAATAGACACCACCTACAGGTAATTCGACTAAGCAACCGAGATTTGTGCATAGAAGAGAGGTGGGTCTATTTCGGTCAGCTCGCACCACCAGGAAATTTATTACCAATGAAGACATAAAAAACAGTAACAAATTATATACCATCCCGCCCAACAACGCGTGCATACCTTAGCTTCATTCAGTTTAACAGCTTTGGTCCGTGCACCACGGCAGGGTAAATTCAATAGTCTGGACACGCGTCCTCATAATGGTAATAATAACAATTCAAAAAGAATGAACAATGACCGTCAGATGGAGTGGCGCAGAGTCCAGAGACAGAGGATGAATACAACAGCCCTCTCAACAACTGATGGGATCCGCTTCGATGATCCCATTGGGGAAGCCTGAAAGGACCCACCGGATTCAGCTTCTCAGTGCGTTCCTGTGCTATTCGGCTATACCATTGAGTGGCCACCTCGGGGGTTCGCAAAACTGGGTGCAGTATAGGCAAACAGTGCTGCTCAACTACGAGAAACTTGTGCTGTCCACATACTTACCATGCATATTTGCATGCCATGTAACGCAACATCATCCTTACACATTAGCCGAAAAAGAGAAACGCTTCAGCTATCGTGTTACAATACAAAATAACAAGACATACCAGAAAGCGTGATACTGATCCCGGTGAACGCAGAATAAAAACAAAAAGCAAGTTGTGAAGTATTATGTGTCGAGAATAAGATCGTATTTAGAGGAGGCAGTTAAAAGGAGGGACAAACAAACTCACAACACAAAAACCACTGAGGTCGGCTCTTCGTCATGTCTACACCAGTATTTATCCAAACGTGTTCACCGTCCTTGGGGTCACAGCCCAGCAGTCGGGAGACACCAAATTCTAAGTGACATTCTTTATACCCCTTGATCAAGTCATTGGTTGACTTTTCTCTTCTAATACATCCACACCTCGGTCGCGAAAATACAGCAGGTCGCTGGAGTCCGTGTGCTACCATGCGCAACACGCGACCCACCATCGGAGTCTGATGTGTGATATAACGGTGCTGAGCGGTTCACTTGTTCTTTCTGAAGAAATAGCAGACGTCGAACACGCTCATTGCTCACGCGGTGCGCTCACCAGGACATGAGCTAAACTGCGAAGGTGGCGATGATCGAACGTAGCTAACGACTTTATGTCTGTCGACCCGATGGGCCAAAATTCACAACCGTACAGGGGGGTTGTACGGACGGCTAGACTGTAAACCCTGCCCTTCAGAGAGAGAGAGAGAGAGAGAGAGAGAGAGAGAGGGAGAGAGAGAGAGAGAGAGAGAGAGAGAGTAATGTCACGCCGACGCTACGGATGGCGGAGTATGGCAAAAACGCATCGAAATTTTACTATACGGTTAGTGACCTCAGCTTCTATTTCGCAGGTGCTAAGATAGCTGCCCAGACACTTAAATTCCTGACTGACATCTAGCTGATCGTCACCGACAGTCAGCGCAGAATTAGGCCTGCGTCAATTTTGGAGAAGGACCTTGAATTTCGATGGTACAAAGCATAGCCCGAAACGATTGATAGTTGGTGCTAATTTGTCCAGCGCTGCTTGGCGTGTTCGAGGGCTGTCACAGATTAGGGCGATGTCGTCGGTACACTCAAAGTCAAGAAGTTGCTCACCAGAAGGCAGCCCCACACCTTGCAAATCGCGTCCAGCAAACGCTATTTCCGTGATTTTATTCGCGATGTTAGAAAGGAAGGGTGTCAACGGGCATCCCTATCTCACACCGCTAGAGATATTGAAGGGTCACGGCCGTTTGTCATAAGCCCTTACTCTAATTGAACTACGGCGCACAGCGCTTCTATGACATTTACATACTTATCGGGCATACCTTTCCTGAGCAGAAGGTCCCAAAATTCACATTGATATACGGAAATGAAGGGTGCAAGTCCTGGCCGATTCGCATGGAAGACATGCGTCGTCTTTCTGCCTTCGATAACGGTTGCTTAAGGAGGATCGCTCGTATTTGGT